TTCCATAATCTTGGCAACATCGGGCTTTTACGGTGATGTCTTGCAGCTTAAGCGAGTACTTCAGGTAACACAATTACTTGATTGTTGTTTCGAATCTAACTTTATTTCTAAGGTCATTTCCTTCAGTCCCGTCTTCATAAATATCGTTTCGACTACCGTACTGATATGAGTGTGGATCTGATGGCGGAGCTTCTAGCAAGAAATCTCTACTACAGGCGCTTCTTCCCTTACTATACGGGTGCCATTTTGGCTGGAATAGATGAGAACGGTAATTGCGCTAGTAGTAGCATGTTCTTCTATTCTGAAAATTGGTTCACTTTTTCAGGCAAAGGGGCGGTGTTCAGCTACGATCCTATCGGGTGCGTAGAACGCATTGCCTACTCGGCAAGTGGTGCAGCTGAACCAATGATGATTCCCTTTTTGGATTGCCAGGTTGGATTTTCTGTCTTAATTTCGCTGGGTTACGCTGAATGACCCTATCCCTTCTTTACAACTCGCGGAGTTCTAGCCATAAGTCTGGTCCAGGTTTATAAAATGTAACATGGCTCCATTTTCACAGCATAACATACACAACATGCACACAACATATACTCGATTTGCAGTTGTCTGCTTTTTAGCAGTATAATATTTAGATCTTGCTGTTCATTATTCAACGCTGATATTTACAGATTGGGCATGTGACATTGAGTGACGAGGCCGAGCATCCGCCGCTTACGCTCCAGAGAGCAATTTCACTCATGAAGGTCAGTTTGCCTTCCTTTACTTATTGTATGCAGTAGTTGAAGGCAGTTGGCACGATAATTTGGTACTCGCCCTAAAATGCTAGCAGGGCGCTATATAGTGGGGAAATGGCGAAAGAACGGAGTGAAACGGTCAAAATCCTGCGAAGAAAAAGCCTTGTTCTAATGACTTAAAAATCAATTTCGGACGAGTTTCCCTAGGCATCTTACCAATAACCGCTACCGAAGATACTATCGCATGTGTGTACTCATATATCCATGCAGCACCGCGGCCGCTTCATATCAATCCCTTCGCTTCATATTTAGCAAATGAAGCAATACGAGCGTCAGGAACGGTCGTCCATTTGTGGGCGGGCGGGCGTGGTGGGCGTTCGGGTCGGTATGTTGTAGCTTGATAGGGCCCTTGGAAGGAGCGCGCCTTCTCAGGGGCGCGAAATTCCGCCCTGCCAGCCGTATTGATCCTACTCGTCTTCAGGGATTTATCATGCTAAGACACCGTTTTTGGACAAGGTGGTTCCTTTTCCAAGGATAGAGAATGTATCATCCATCATCGTATCATCATGTATCATCATGAACATGTGATAGCGACTTCATCCGACCGCGTAGGTGACTATGCTTCGCCTACTGTCCCATGCCGTCAATCTAAAGCTGATGGTGTATTTGTGTGCTAGTAGCTTCTTTCCCTTCGTATGCTGAAAGCAAACTGATACAAAGGAAAACAGCAGATGAGAACTCGCCTTTTCTCCGTCTGATACACGTACAAGCGCGGGTCAGCATGGAGTCCTATCTAGAGCGCTTCTGGTTGTTTTTTTTTGTCCTTTCTTCTTCGTTACTAAGTCAACTACCCAGTTGTCATCTCTATGCCTGGTCCACCGCTCACCATTTTAGTTCGCGGGGCATGTCTTTGAACAAGCCGTTTTTCATTTTTCATGTGCAGATATTTGAAGTTAAACATCCTAGCAACACCCTTCCGTATTCGCCTTGAAAAAATTCTCCTGCTTGTGATTCCAATCTCTGGGATTGGAGTGCATTAATTCGCAGAGTAGTAGAGAGTTTCTTGGCCGGTTGCATTCTTGTAATCGGAATGCCAGCAGGAAAGGTAGCTTTGGACATTACAAGGAGGGATACTGTTGCCATAAAAACAGCTTTACAGAAAAAAAACTAGACGTTAGAGACGAGCATAAGCTCTTGTTGACGTGTTATCAAGTTGAACCCATATAAACAGAACACTTCTTGAGTAGAGTAACCTCCATTCCGCTCCAACCTGAACATCTATAAAATTAAGCCGCTGCACCTAACTCAACACGTGGAAGGAAATGCAGCCCATGGCACGGAAAAAGACCATCCAGCCGGTAATGAGTGACAAAAAGCCGTTTATGCCACGTGATCTACTTTGGTTTGCAATCCAAATCTTCAAAATCAGTGCGCGGGCATGTTAATTGTTGCGTGCGTGGTGGAAGCTGCGATGGTGAACGAAACAATGTAATAGCATGCTTGTATTCTACTAAAATTTGTTTCCCGTGATCTAAGGTGGCAAGAGGGTCCGCTTTGCACCGTCCGTCTCGCCTGATAGTACACGTAGATCGGCTGGCCTGCGCAGTTATTGCATATGCCAGATCGCTTGCAATGAGTCTCCACAATTCTAAGTGGAAGCAGAATGCGTACCGCATTCCAAAAGATGATAAATCAACAGCGAAGAGTTTATTTTTTCAGTTTATCTGCTTCTCATACTATTTCAGCTCTCCTAATTTTTGCATTTTCACTGAGATGGAGCCCTTTTTGACCACTCAGACAGCGCACTTCGCCCTGAGGCGCTATAGGCTTCGAGGAGTTGATGCTGCTATCCCGTTAGAATGGAGTTGTAGAGGGAGAGAAAGAGAGAGATGCGTGAATTGGTAGAATCCGTCATCGTTGTGAACTGCACCTCTTAGGAGGCATGGAAAATAGAAGATCTTGTGCAGAGTTTGATCGAAGCGCTGCCAAAAATGTTCTGGTCTTTTCAACAAAGAGTAGCATCTTCAATATAGACATATTTATTGAGCGAGCCAGGGTGCCTTTTTCCACCGATGATGCCATCATGAGCTCGCTACAGTTAGTGGGAAATCTGCCCTGGTTGTGCTCCAAACCACGCCACCGTCATACCCCCTGTCGGTGGCAGGAATCATGATTGCACGTCTTTGAATTTTGCAGAAATAGAAGCTGAACATGAACTGGGGCTAGGAATTCTGTGTACTAGAAGCAAACGTTCTAAAAATAAATTTTACAGCTTCAGTACCTTGTGAGCCGATAATATATGCTAATATTCCCCTACCCGCCGCCATTTCTTTGCCCGATGTGAATAGACTAATTTGCTAATAGCTTTTCTGTTAACCGCCTTGTAAGGATCTGTCGAGGTTGGAGCAACTGAAATAAGTAATGCATAAAAAATGAAGCGCTATAATGGTGAAGATTGCGCGTGAAAAAACGTTTTGGAAGTGTTAGCTCCGGCTGAGCACTGTAGGAGTTCCACAGTACTGGATCTCGTTTTAGGATGCTTTTCGATCAGCAGCCGAGCGGGAGATTTCTACTGGTGACAAGATACATCTCATTATTGCCGAAGCCGGGAAACCTATTCAACAGCAGTTTCTTCCTCTTCGTGAAGATTAATAATAATAAGACGTGTTCTTTGTCTTCGTTGCTTTGTCATGCCTTTTGATAAACATATTTATTCCGATGAGTTTTGAGTTTTTGTGATATCTACTTTCTTTAGTGAGTAGGTCCAACGAGTAAGTAGTGAGTTGTCAGTTGGAGAACACAGACAAATCTTTCCGGAGTTAAAGGCAGTTGGCATGATGATTTGGAATTCGCCTAAAATGCTAGTAGGGCGCTATATAGTGGGGAAATGGCGAAAGAACGGAGTGAAACGGTCAAAATCCTGCGAAGAAAAAGCCTCCGTTCTCAGTGACTTGAAAATCGATTTTGGACGAGTTTCCCGTAGGCATCTTGCCAATAACCGCTACCGAAGGTACGGCTGCATATGTGTATATCCATGCAGCATCACGGCCGCTTCATACCAATCCCTTCGCTTCATAATTTGCTTAGCAAATGAATCAATACGAGCGTCAGGAACGGTCGTCCATTTGTGGGCGGGCGGCGTGGTAGGCGTTCGGGTCGAAATGTTGTGGCTTAATAGGGCCCCTATAAAGGCACTTTCACTGGAAGAGGCGCTAAGAACTACCCAACTGGGGAAATGGAATACGATTCTGAGTGTTACGGTACGGAAGGGATAGGACCACGATATTATGAGAATGTAGCCTTGAAAAAAAATGCTTCCTGTCTTTCACATTAATCAGGCCCAATGCGGCTTTTCAGCTAAATAGTATTTAGTACCATAGCTTACCGTTTAACGCATCAAACAGACTAGATTAATAGATTTACCCCTTGTGTGCTTTTCCTGTAAACTTCGTCGCCAAGCATTGTAACGCAGTTGTAAAGCGAGTAGCTGTTCAAAACCATAGCTTACCGTTTAACGCATCATAAAAGAAGTTGGCCTTTGACAGAGGAGGTCACCACCTCAGTATACCAGGCATTTTGGTGCAATAGTTCGTATATCGTGGGAAAGACGGGCAAGAGAATCGTAAATTGTCGATTCGTGGCGCGCGAAAGTGGGCGCGACGTTTCCTCAGTTTGCACTACTCTTTCGATTGGAGCATCGGATTTCATGTAACAAGGGCAGTGATAGACACTTTTGTCCATATATATTTGGTCATTCACTA